CAGATCCCAACTCTGGGAACAGGTCCCAAAGGGCAGATCCCAACTCTGGGAACAGGTCCCAAAGGGCAGATCCCAACTCTGGGAACAGGTCCCAAAGGGCAGATCCCAACTCTGGGAATAGGTCCCAAAGGCCAGATCCCAACTCTGGGAACAGGTCCCAAAGGCCAGATCCCAACTCTGGGAACAGGTCCCAAAGGCCAGATCCCAACTCTGGGAACAGGTCCCAAAGGCCAGATCCCAACTCTGGGAACAGGTCCCAAAGGGCAGATCCCAATTCCCAGCTCTGGGAACAGGTCCCAAAGGCCAGATCCCAACTCTGGGAACAGGTCCCAAAGGGCAGATCCCAACTCTGGGCCAAAGGCCAGATCCCAATTCCCAACTCTGGGAACAGGTCCCAAAGGCCAGATCCCAACTCTGGGAATAGGTCCCAAAGGCCAGATCCCAATTCCCAACTCTGGGAACAGGTCCCAAAGGCCAATTCCCAACTCTGGGAACAGGTCCCAAAGGCCAGATCCCAATTCCCAACTCTGGGAACAGGTCCCAAAGGGCAGATCCCAACTCTGGGAACAGGTCCCAAAGGGCAGATCCCAACTCTGGGAACAGGTCCCAAAGGCCAGATCTCAATTCCTAATTCTGGGAACGGCTCCCAGAGACCAAATCCCAGTTCCAGCTCTGGGAACAGCTCCCAAACCCCAAACACCAATTGCCAACTCTGGGAACGGCTCCCAGAGGTCAGATCCCAATTCCAACTCTGGGAACTGCTCCGAAACCCCAAACCCCAACTCTGGGAACAGCTCCCAAAGCTCGGATCCCAGCCCTAGGAACAGCTCCAAAACCCCAAACCCCACATCCCAAATCCCAACAATGGGAACAGCTCCCAAAACCTCAAAACCCAACCCTGGGAACTGCTCCCAAAACCCAACCTCCAAAACCCAACTCTGGGAACAGCTCCCAAAGCCCAAATCCCAAAACAGAAATCCCAAACTCCAAATCCCAACCCTGCTGCAGAGATGTGTCCCCATCCCATCCCATCCCATCCCATCCCATCCCATCCCATCCCATCCCATCCCATCCCGTCCCATTATCCCATCCCGTCCCGTCCCATTATCCCATCCCAATCCCGTCCCATTATCCCATCCCATCCCATCCCACCTTTCCTTGGACACTGCCAGGGATTCTCTGGGAATTCCAGCCCAGCCGGGAATTCCTTCCCAAGATCCCACCATCCCAAGCTCCCCTTTCCCACTGGAAGCCATTCCCTGGCTCCTGGCCCTCCAGCCCTTTCCCAAATCCCAGCTCTCCTGGAGCCCCTCTGGAAAAGGCTCCAAGGATTCCCTGGACCCTTCCCTGATCCAGCTGCACATTCCCAGCTCTCCCAGCCCAGGAGCAGCTCCGTGCTCTCCTCTCCAGCTCCGTGTCCTGCAGATTTCGGGATCCCGGAGCTCTCACGCGGGTGGAATTCCCGCTTTTCCCGCTGCCCAGATTTCGGGATCATCCCAGGATCCGTGTGGGGGTGGATGGTGGCACCCTCTGGAGCAGGGAATGTTCTCCAGCCTGGGACAGGCTCTGCCAGCTGCTGTCACCCGAAACCGAGGACAACTGTCCCTCACACGCGTGCTGGCGCCTCAGCCCAGGATCCCGTGGGAATTCCAGGGTCCCAGGGAATTCCAAGCAGGGAATTCCAATTCCAGTTCTCCCCAGAGCTGATCCCATCCCGTCCCCGAGGTGGCTGCGGGACGGGGGTGACACCAACCCTGTCCCCAAGGGGCTCGGCGGGGGTGGCACTGCTGGGGGAGCTCCAGGGGATGGGAATGATGGGAATGATGATGGGAATGATGGGAATGATGGGA